GGCATGGGCGAAGGAAAGTACGAAGGAGGCGGTACCGCGACTGACAATGTGTTAGGGCTGTGCGCCAGGTCGGGCGACGTGAAGAAGTATACCATTCCCAGCATCAACAGCAAGCTGGCCGAGGCGCGCGGGGCCGGATTGGGAGCGGCCCCAGCGATGTTGACAAGATCACTTCGAAGGATCAGGAGGAACAGTAGGATGAGGAGGAGGAGAATGAGGGCGAGGAAAGGGAGGAGCAGCAGCAGGAAAAAGCAGCAGCAGCAGGAACAACACCAGGAGGGGCAGCAGGAACGGCATGAGGATCAGCAGCAGGATGTACAGGAGCAGCACCCCTAGTTTTACTCAGCTTCGTTATTTGTCCACGTGGATTGCCCTTGTGCTTCATCCGCCTGGGCTGGAGGCGCGCGCGTGCTACGCGAACAGCACGGAGGTCAAGACGAGCATGGGCGCGGCTGCTGCCAACCTGGGCGTCTAGGGCGCATGCTTGCCCCGAATGCCGCAGGGGGCATGTGCGTGGGGGAGAATGGGAGAGAGGATGAGAGGGGAGGCATCGATGGAGGGAAGGATCGATAGAGAGACGACCTCGGGGCGAGTGCGCTGCGAGCAGCGCCACTTCTCGTGCAGAGAGCAACAATGCTCAGACGTGCACGATTTTTAGACCATGGATGCGGTTTCAGATCCATGTCAGGTCGTCCAGTTAGGTGCCCGCGGCAAGAGACAGAGAGCAAGGCGGTGCGATCGACGAGGCGCCGCGCTCGAGCGTGAGAAAGCAGGCGCGCGCAATCAGCGACGAGAGCACGCGTGGCAGCAGACATGCATTCGCACGTCAGTCAACGAGATGAGGAAAATGGAGGGAGGGAAAGCGTAACATGGAAGATGAAAAAGAAACGCTGGCACGGGTAGCGGCAGGGAGATTTAGGGCGGGAGGGCAGGAAGGTAGACGCAAAGCATTCAGATCAGCATGTTGAGATTGTGTGCGTCGATTCGGGGCCCCCTGAGAATGCAATGGACAGTGGCGCCATTTGGGATCGCGTTATACCCAATTCGCACCTATAGGAGCATGGGAACTGCATTAGAAAATGGCGCGCAGCCCGCGAGCAAGCGACAGCAGTGGTTGATTCAGGATAGGCCCCATAGGTTTCTTCAGATCGACGTGTGTTTAGTAGAAGCCACTCGCCTTAGTTTCCCCTATAGGTGAATCCATCGGCCGTAGCGTTCTAGCCACTTTGGCTCCAGCGAGTGTGCAACGTATCCGACCTCGTTGGTTCTGAGTGCACACTTGCCGCGATGGCCGCGCGAGCAGCTGCCGTGCAGATGATGGCGGACAGCCAACCCTCGTCAGCAGGAATGCCGCGGCCGATGGATTTGCATCCCCAGGTAGGCTTGGCAAACTGCGCGCCCACGTAGTTGCCCCATGTGAGGTGGAGGGGCGGGGTGTGTGGGTGGGTGGGTGGGTTGGTGGTGGGGTGGGTGGTGGGGGTGGTGTGGGGGGGGGGGGGGGGGGGGGGGGGGGGGGGGGGGGGGGGGGGGGGGGATGTGGTGGTGGGGTGGTGGGTGGGGTGGTGTGTGTGTGTGTGGGGGGAGGGGGGGGGGGGGGGGGTGGGGGGGGGTGATGGATGGCAGGGGGGCTGGATTCGGTCACGGTGCACCCCCCCAAGAAGAGTGGGGCATCTGCGTGGGGGAGGGGTGCGATTTTGCCGAGCCAAACCTTGACGCAGGGCGGCCCCGAGTTCGACGGAGGAGCTGGACTTCGGAAGTACTTGCTGAACAGGTGGAAGGAAGGGGAGCTCACGAGCAAGGATAAATGGCTGAACGCACCACCCTGACATAAGCCATTCGGATGATGGTAGAAGTATTATCAGAGGTACGGGAGGGAGAGGGGGGAGGTCGGGGAAGGGATAGGTAGGGGAAGGAAGGCAGCGACAGCGGAGGGGGGAGAGGGCAGAAGAGGAAAGAAACCACCAGAGAGAGAGAGATAGAGAGAGAGACTATGACAAGCCAGTGCTCGGGCGTGGTCGTGTTCAGCCATTAGGACGTCTGCACGATCGCGTTTCACACGATGAAATCTGGCGGGACAGGCGTGGGAGACCTGGCATTGGACCCAGAATCGACCCATCATACGGAGCACATCCGCAATGCATTGCATTTGAACAGTCGGGAGCAATTGTACTCAACGCTGGTTCCAGTGTGGGACAAGGCCACAGAGGCACGTGTGGCAATTGACTTTCCTTTCTCGCTTCCACGCGAATGTTTTGCAGCCAGCTACTCGGAGAACCCTGAAGACTTCAACATGCAGAGAGTGGGTCCAAATGAAATCCCACAGCAGTACGAGACCCATCCTGTCACAACTGAGCATGGGAACCTGTCATTCCCAATCGGGTTTTACAGCGACGGCGTGCCTATTTCAAAAAAGACACGTTTCTGTGTTTTTACTGGAGCAATATAAAATCTCAGCGTCGACATTTGATCACAGCAGTACGTAAGTCCGACTGCTGCAGCTGCGGCTGCTTAGGTGCCTGTACGTTAGGCGCTATAATGAGGGTAATCGTATGGAGCTTGAACATCCTGGCTGGCGGCGTCTTCCCATCAACGGATCACGACAACAATCCTTTCACATCTGCTGACCGTGAACTCAAGAGAGGTTTGTACATCGCCAACGGTCTCCGCGGAGCCTTGGTTGAATACAGAGCCGACCTGTTAGAATTTCAGCAAGCTTTGGGGGTAAAGAGATGGGACAACGTGCAGCACCCTTGTTTTTTTTGCGATTGTAGGAAGTCGGAACTTCATAACTATCCACGCTCTCGTGCTGAATGCACGTGGAGAGAAAAAGGCGCAGCCACGTATGATAACATGGTTCGCTCCTGCATCAGAACAGTCCGAATCACGAGCAAGAGACAGTTGGAGATCCTACTTGACTGCATGAGGCACGACCCCGATATCGGTGGGTACGGAACATGGCGCTCGTGCCCCGACTTAGGGCTACCCTCTGGCTGGCGTTTGGTTCAGACAGGCCCCGTCACTGATACATACAAAGTTATGGAAATCCCGTGTTCGGCCGAAGAGCCTGCCGAGCTTACCTTTTTCGACAGTGGCAATCAGATCGGCCTCAATTTCATCGCTCCCATATTCTCCGTCCTGGGATTTACGATAGACATGGTGGCATTAGACATCATGCATGTAGTTGACTTAGGAATTAGCCAATACCTCTGTGGAGCAGTATTGACCATTCTCGTGGAAGGAAATTGTGCCAACAGCCAGAAACGTACTGCAGTTCTCAGGCGCAAGGATAACATAATATTTCTTCGCCGCCGCTTGAGGGCATACTATATAGCAAACAGAACGGTTCTCAAGAGAGGACAAATGTCTCAAATCTTTCGTCTTTCCCTCAAGATGCTCGGGCCTGTGCACGACCCCCGTCTCCGTGCGAAGGCAGCGGAGACGCGACAACTGGTCGGTCTTTTACCTGACTTGTGTCGCGAGCACTCACGTCTCTTCACTGGCCTTGCCGTTTACTTACCGCACTGTTGCACTCAGCTGTTAAAGTTCCAGAACATAGTTGCTGCGAACCCTCGGCGGTTGTCCCAGGAAGCCCAAAGGGATCTTGAGGATTCCGCTTTTGCGTTCGTGCACTGTTGGAAGAGAGCGGGTGGACACGTGGTGTTCAAACACCACGTGTTCCTCCATCTCGTGCTCCGCGCGCGCGTGATGGGGAATCCCCGCAGGTACTGGACGTACCTGGACGAGGGGGAGAACCGCGCGATGGCTTCCATCGCGCGTTCTCTCCACCACGGGTCCAATTTTTATTTCAGTTTTTTGGAGAAGGCCGTGCCAGACTTGTTCTGAGGTGCCGTGCAAAACGCCCGCCAGATTTCATCGCGTGGGGGAGCAGGGAAGCGAGCGAGCGAGCGGGGTGCGCGCCTTGGAACTGCCAGGGGGCGGGCGGGTGCCACCCGCTCCGGCTGCAGGAAGAAGGGAAAGAGGGAGGAGGGAGGAAGGAGGGAGGTGGGAGGCAGGAAAGAGGAGGCAGGAGGGAGGGAAGGCACCGCCAGGCTGGTGACTGGACTGCTGGATCCGCTCCGGCCTGCAGGCCCTCTTATCAGGGGGAAGGCGTTTCATCATCCCCTTCCCTCCCGTTGTCCCTCTCCTCGAACCTCTCTCCCCCCCCCTCGGCCTCTCGGGCCCCTCGGGATCGATTCCCTCGAGAGAGCGCGTCGGCCGAGCCCCTTGGGAGCAATGCCGTCGGATGACTCCAAGGGGGGAGCCCCATGGCACTCCATGTTCTGGATGACTGCTGGGACCCGCAAGTATACGTTCATGTATGTATAGCGATAAATGATACATCTATAAATACATGCATGCCAACAAATACATACACACAGCGACACATGAGGAAGCCAGTACACAACTCACACAACACATCAATAAACACATACAGACATAAACATGCAAGTTAACCCATACATACACAAAACACGTAAACATACAAACAGCTCAACACTAACATGCAGTACATACGTTAAAACATCCACGCATAACTGGACACATAACTAAACACATGCATACCTAATCCAAAATAACATGTAGACATGGATAAATAGATACATCAGCACATACATAAACAAATCAATGCATACATGCATACATAAACACATCAATGCAACCACATCAATACATGTATGCATACATACATCACTAAACACATACATGAATAAACACTTAAACCAACACAAACAAGTACAGGTAAGTGCACGCATGTGTGTATACATATACATATATATATAGACATATGTATAAGAGCATTGGGGTCCTTGGCCCATGGCCCTGGCGGGCCTTCCAATCCAGCGCCTGTTCATTGGCAGCTGTGCGCAAAAAAATATGGTGGGCACAGCGCCCAGGGCCCTGGGTGCCCTAAAAAAACACATTTCAACTTCGCTGGCGTTACGGAGGCGTCAACCATAAGATGATGATGTGGTTCAGCGCCGAGAGCCCGCACCCCTTTT